GCGGCGGTTGGCCGTAACGGTCGCAGGTGAGGAAGATGGCGGGCCTCGGGACGGTCCCAGGCCTGGGGGGGTTTCCTGGCCTCGGGGCGGGTCCCCGGGTCCGGGTCCGGATTCCAGGGTCCCCGTCGGGGTGGGGGTCCCCAGGGATGGGGGGGGTCCTCAAGTCAGGGTCCTGTCCGGGGCCGTGGGGGCGGCGGGGGAGGGCGTGGCCTAGCCGCGGGCGTCCGTTGGGCGACCCCAAGTGAGGCCGGGCGGTGAGGTCTGCGCATGCGCTCCGCCGTAACGGTAAAGCTGGGCTAAACCGCCTTCCCCTGAGCTGCGGTGTGGCCGGTGGCGTACAAGGCGTCGGGAAGCCGCATGGCAGAGGGGACCCGGCTAAGGCGGCTCGAATTCCTCGGGTTTGGGGTCAACCTCGTGCCCTGTCAGGGGGGTGTGCGTGAGTTCTGGCTGCACTGTCTGCTCATCAGTGCGTGTGTGCACGCCCGGATGCACACGTGCGTGCGAGGGTTGGCTCACTCCCGTGGTCTGCCTGCCTGTGCGCGGTCCTTTCTCCGAGCCTGCTGTGCCTGTAAGGCAGTTAGTTGTCCAGTCGTCGGCCAGGGCGCCAAGTCCCCTCTGGGGGCTGCTCCTGTGCAGGAAGTTTCCTAGCTCGCTTGGCTACAGTGTTTCACTAAGGTCGATTCAAGGTTTCTGATGGTGAAGGATAAGAAAGTTCTTATTTTTGTTTTAGCTTTAGTTTTCCTTTTCATTTGCTAATGGATGACATGCTCAACATTGTGGCACAGGCCGCCACTGTCTGGGCCTCTGCTGGAGTCTATCGGTGAGAGAGAGGCCTGTGAGGGCCAGGAGTGAGCTTGGGTTCCATCGAGCCCGTGTATGGCTCTTTTTAGTCCTGCCATAGGGTGGTGGTGGTGGGAAGGGTATACCAGATGAATATATGCTAATCCTTGAGCAACAGAGCTCAGTTAGTTTGAATCATCGTTATCAGAATGAAAGAACGTAAACTGGCTCAGGCACTGACCTTAACTCCCCCCCCCCCCAAACACGTTCTCTTTCGTCTGCCTTTCTTTGGGTCGGTTATATTCCTGATTCCTGGGCTTTTTCTCCATATTGGTGCAAATAAAACATGTTAATAGACCAGTATTGGTATCTCTCCATCTTGTTTTTAATACGCACATCTACACATATGTCCATAATAATAACCTCTTATTTATGTAGTTTAAAACTTACATAAATACTTTCTCTGGAGAACGTGTGTATTGTATTTCACAATTTTTGATTTTGCTCTGCATTTTGACTTGTGCCTCGTTCTGAGATACGGAGCTTGTTCATTAGATTCACTGTTCAGTTGCATCACTGTCCCACCTTGCTTTTGGTTTCCCTCCATTGTCCCCTACCATAGTGACATCGGGGGTATGTTTTATTTCTTGCCGTTAGAGGCAGTGCTGCAGTAAATGCTTGAATACTCTTTTTGTGCTTTAGTTTCTCCAGAATGTGAGACTAGAAGAGGAGCCCTTGTGCCACAGGAAACAGGGTTCTTACCTATCAAAGCTCACCCAAGTCCATCCATAGTTTCCTATTTTCCATGTTAACACTGAGACTTGCTGGGATCAGGCTCCTTAGTTTCTACAGGTCCAGTCAGGGTTGTGGTTTGTTATTAGTATTCTGATTGCTTATAGAGGTAATATCTTTGCATTTTTTTATTATCCAGTTGAGTTTCTGCTTTTCTGAATGGCTTATTTTTAATCTTTTCCACTTTCCTAATGGATTACTGATTTTTTCTATGATTTGTCAGTTTGTCATGGTATTTATTTTAATAAATCTCCTAGGAGCAAAACTAAAAACATCTTTGATTTGGTGGGGAATTTAAATTAAATGAATAATATCCAGAAAGAAATTTTAAAAACCTATTTGTTGCATTTCATGTAAGCAACAATGATTATCATATGTTAATATTTTAAAGTGTAAACACATGGAACAGATTGTAAGACATGTAAAACATTTTCTTTTATAGGTCTGTGTTTTAATCCTGCTTTTTTAAATGAAGTCAAAATGCCAATAAGACCAGCTCTCCAAGTATGTATTCCTTAGATCAAAAGGAAGTATTTTGATCCCTAAAATAACTTTTCGTGTACTTACAAGAATTCATTGCTCTATCTTTAGCAGTGACAAAACTTAATGTTTTACAAAATACTCAGTAGATTAATTTAAATAAAATGCTCTTTATTAATGTTTTTTAAAAATATTTTATTTTTATTTTATGTGCATGTGTGTATTGCCTGCATGTAGGTAAGTGCACCCATGTCGTGCAATGCCGGCGGAGGTCAGAAGAGGCTGTTGGATCCTGTGAAACTGGATTACAAGACAATCGTTAGCCGCCATGTGGGTGCTGGGATTCGAACCTGGGTCTTCTGCAAGAACAGCCAATGTTCTTAACCACTGAGCCATCTCTCCAGCCCCGTTTATTAAATGTTTTTAAAGTATGTTAATATAAACTATGAAAGGTGTTATTTTCTTTATATGTGCTTTCTACCCTGAACATAACTCATACACTGATTAATGTATTATACCTAGATATTTGTGTAACTTTAAAAATTGTATGGTTCTTACATTTAGATAAAGAACATGTTTTAAAATATCTTTAAAAATATTTGCAGTTTACCACTGAATCTATCTACTCAATGATCAGATTGTAGTCTTAAAACTTGTTGAAGTTGTAATAGCAGGAATGGCAGCTTTGATCAAAATCATAGATATTATATAAAGACAATACTTAGGTTACATTAGTGGATATCATTTTTAAAAGGTGCATTTGTCATTGTGAAATATTCTTTTGTAAAATTTGTATTCAGATATACTGGGATTTTTGTCCATGGTTTTATTTATAGTTACTTAAAAATTGATTTTATGTTTTTCATCATTTTTGATGTATTTTATTTGATGGTTTTGTCAGTGAAAGATATAACTAAGAATTGAAAATTTAATATTTCTCTTATCTAAACTTGTTGGGATTTTAAAACAAAGTGAATATTTTATGAGCTAATTTGATAATTTTCATGTAAATCATTCTCAAATTACTAAATTTTATAACATTACTGATTTTAATCAATCTGTGTCCTGTTAAATATATTTCTGTAGCAACTGGAAAAGTACATTGATGATGCTTTAAGAAAAAATGATTTTAAACCTTTGAGAGCACTTTTACAAATTGATATTTCTGAAGATGTGAAGATTAAATGCAGCAAACAGTTTCTCCAGAAGTTGGATGACTTAATATGCAGGGTAAATACCCATCTTTCTTTAATTATTCTTAAAATTATTATATGGAATTTTATTTTGTAGGAAGGAAGTACTCCATTAGACAAAAATGAGCAGAAAGCCTTTTACAAGCTTGCTTACAATGTTAAATGAATGTTTACCTCACCATTTTCTTGTTTATTATGTGAGACATCTCAACACACTGAACTCTTGTACAAAATCTGTGTACCAAAGGGCTTCTGTTAGGAATCTGGGGAGAAAGTTACTTATTCGAAGTTTAAATAACTTGACCTATTTAAAAAACTTAGCATATTGGTGGAGTTACCCAGTACTTGGTGGTCTCAAAAATCAAAGAAAAAAAAATTGAAGACCTTGAATTTGATTTAACATTTCTGAAGCATATTCATACCTAAAGGAAAGGTAACTACAGTTATCTTTTGGTAACCTTTTAGATACTTGTCTGTTTTGGTATTCAAGAATAGTCATAAATCTTAAAGATTGAATAACAAGTTTTTAGCTTATTGGGGTAGCTCATGCCTGGAAAGCCAGCACTTGGGTCACTGAGGCACGAGGATTGCCACAAGTTCCAGGCTAGCCTGGACTACAGAATGAGACCATGTCTCCAAAACAAACAAACAAACAAACAAACTTCGGTTTGCTAGTTAAACATAAGTTTTAAATAAAAGGGAGCTGCTGCCTAGAGTTTCTCTATGTGCAGATCATAATTCCGAGTTTGCCATTAGCTGGGCAGCTTGGGGCAACTTGCTTGATCAAACCACTCTTTCCATCCTTTCTGTTAGAAAGTTGATGATAAATGGCTCCCTTTCAGGATTTATGAGGATTAGAAATTGATGCATGATGCTCTTGGAACAATGCCTATGTCATACTATTTTGTATATGTACAAATTTAAATATGTGCTTTTCATTTTAGGAACTTGATAAAAAGGATATTCAAATTGTTTCAATCATTTTGATGTCTGTGGGAAGATGTGGCAAAAATATCATTGTTTTGGGGAAACCTGGACTTTTAACCATGATGAAACAAGGATTACTCCAAAAGATAAGTGTAGATTACTTAAACATCTCTGGGAGAGATAAGATAAATGGTACATTTTCTATTAAAATATTCCAAACTGTTGAAAGTAAATTTGGGAACTTTGAGAATGAAGTAAATGTTTTTTGTAACAAAAACAAAGCTAAAGGTCAAAAGGAAGCTGCACAGCTCCCTGATAAGCATTGAATTTCAGGTCACAAGACTCCACTGGGCCTTGGCTTGCTTTATTTTCTGTTGACTGTCTTAAGTCGCTAATTTCCTTTTCATTAGGTTACTATTTTATTTGGATACTAAAATATGTGATACAGATTTTTGTGCTTTTATTCATGGACCTATAAGTGGCACATAAATTATACTTAGAATATAGTATGCACTCAAATATCTGAATTAATTTATTAAGGCAAAATAATTCCAAAACTTTAAAAATAGTAATGATAAAAAGGAAATCTAAATTGTCATGATAGTATTTTCAAGCAATTTTTAAAAGTTAACTTACATGTATCAGTGTTTTGCCTGCATCTGTGTAAGTGCACACATGTCATGCAGTGCCCATAGAGGCCAGAAGAGGGGGTCAGATTCCCTGGAACTAGAGTTATGGGAAGATGTTAGCCGTCATGCTGTTCTGGAAACTGAGCATGGGTCCTCTGCAAAAGCAGTCTGTGTTTTCAATCATTGAACCATCTCTTCAGCTCCTGTTGTAATAGTTTAAATTGATTAAGTCTTAGTACAAATACTCTTGTTATAAAAGAGGAAAATAAGGGTCTTTAAAATGGAAGTAATGTTGGTTTCATTCCTATCTTAAACAATAAGGAAATTTGGGGAGTTATTTTAATGTCTTTTTGGTCTTAGGCTTATTATTTAAACAAATACAGTTGATAACTTTGAGATGTTAAAGTGGAGTTCAATGTAACTAATATATTCATTCTTTTTTTACATGGTTTTCTGGTTTGAAAAATCTGAGGAGATTATTATAAGTAGAGGACGTTCAAAAGATGAAGCTGTTCTAAATATGATAGAAGACTTATTTGACCTTTTGATGGTAAAAATGACATTGACTGATACTATAAAACGTGTGCTCTTTGGGAAACTATTTGTAAATATAATCCTAAGAATCACTAATATTAGAGTGACTTGGATGGATTGGCCTGTCCAGACTATATAAAGCATTTAAGTTGGTTAATATTGGATAGTTTATCAATAGTTAAAAGCTAATTATGCTGTGAATTAAAATTTGTTATTTTAATAGCTTTTATAGTCGTTTAATAATATAGTAAATTCTAAATGAAATATTATTTACTTTTTTTAGGTCATATATGACATCAATGATGCAGGTAAAGTGTTTTATTTCCATTGGAGCAATAATTTGCTGAAAGGTTTAGCATAATTTTATAACACCCATAATATTGTCCTAATATTAGGAACTTACTATTTAATTAAGGAATCAAACTGTTTCTTTAAAGGACACAGTAAAATTTTAGACTTTCTAGACCAATAAAAATGCAGATATTAGGTATGATAAATAAAACATTTCTAAATTATTTTATTAATAAAATTGAGAAAATTTTGTTAGATGGATTTATGAGGTAGAAAATAGCAGTTTTTAAAATTAGGGATCAAAGCTTGAGTTTGTTTTCTAAATTGATGACAAAAGTTTGTAATGAAATTTTATGACACATCAGAAAATATCTTCATGAAAAGAAGATATATCATGTATCAGTTAAGGAACATAATTTTAATTAAACATGTTCACATAGATGGTATTAATTGGATTCTGATATTTAACATTATTTGCTCTTTAGAATGTCATCAGAGTGATTGCTTCTAGTTGAAAGTGATATGGAAGTGAAGCTCCTTGATTGTACAGTGCAATGGATTTTTAAATATGGAGATTTCCCTTGCACAAAAATCACTGTCCAAAAATACTGCTGGATCTGAAGTTGGAGCTTAGAAAAGGTGTATGTCCTTCATATATTTGTGAAGGAGTAGATTATCATCCTTTTTTGGGGTGGAGGGGACAGGATGACAGGATCTCAAATAGCCCAGACCTGCCTCCAACTCATCCTATAGCTGAGGCTGGTCTTGAACTCCTGATCCTCCTATCTACACCTCCCTCCTGAGTGCTAAGATTATAGGCATGTGCCAACATGCCCAACTGAGGCCTTGTGAGCGTACTTTGTAGAAAAAATTTGTTAGTGTCTTTCTACAACATCAGAATTCACTAACAATACATTCATAAGGTGCAGTGGTTTCCAGGGTGGCAGTTTGCCAGATAATCCTGTCTGCTTTGGAAGTCTTGCCTAGGCGAGTGCAAGTTCTATTCAGTTACCAAGATAAATTTTCATAACACTCAACACATTAAGCAAAAATGTGTATCTTTATATAAGCATGCGTGTGTTTTCCAGAATAAATACAAATTAAAGAGGCTGTAGCAGAGTTCAAGAAGTTTCAGAAGTAGGCTGATAGGATGTCATAGTGCCTATTGATAAGATAAGGAACACAGACCAGCAGTAAGGAAGAAGCTGTTGCCATAGAAATGCAGCCACCAGGAAAGAGGATTGAGAGCGAAGATACAGCCAACTTCAGAGACAGAAGGGCAGGACAGGCCTCAGAGGAACAGCGGGTGCAGGTCCAGATAGGTGAACAAGTGGACTGGCAGGCCGCAGTCTAGTACACCATACCCACAGCTGGGTACTGAGCCAAGTTGAAATCCCAAGGACAGTCAGTAGTCCTCAGCCTGTCAATCCTTCACCCACTTCAAGCATCAGATGTCATGTTGGTGTGGGGCCATTGCCACCACAGTGTTAATTTTCTACCGTTTTATGGAGTCCAGGAGAGGGAGTTATAAACCCTTCCTTTGTCTAGCATGTCTGATAAGTTCTTGGGCCTGCTTTCCCTGATAGGATATGAATATACTATGTGCCCCTACAGTCTTAGTTCACCCCAACAAATTTATAGAGTGGCACCTTTTCTACTTCCAAGAATATATCATTCATCAGTCTGTCATGCATAGGTGGTACTGGGCAGGTGGTGCTGTTCACACATCCACCCAAGTGTGCAATCATCCTCCACACTCCAAATGGAGCAAGGCAGGGCAAGGCAGAGCCTGAAAAAAAGGTGTTTTACATACTATGCAGTAACCTATAGTAGGGTACAGCCTGATCTCAACAGATCTGCTGCTTTAACTTTTGACAGTATGGGATGTGTATAAAGCAGTGTGGTCGTCCTACACTTTGTGTCTTTCCTTGGTCTTACAGTTTTATTGAATAATAAATTCATTGTACAGGAGTTCATTGGTAGCAGTTCAAGTAGTCCTACTTTGATGATACTGGCAGATCTTCTTTTACCAGGCTTAGTAAACTAGTATTTAGCTTCTCTCAAATCATATATTACCTGCCACTCAGTAGATCAGTCTGTGTGTCTGTGTGTGTGTGTGTGTGTGTGTGTGTGTGTATACACACAAACACTTGTAGGTTATGTAATGGCTAATGACTGCAAGGTGTTAAAGAGGTAGCAGCAGAGTTTGAGTTTCAATGCTAGGAAATGAAGGAACGAAGGAGATTTCACTGTGGGAGTGAGGGAATGAACCTAGGCCAGAGGTCTGCCACCCCATAGTCAGGCTGCAGGATCAAAATTGAGCTGTAGGACAAGATAAACAAGGTGTGGTCGAGGTTGTGGAAGCAAAGGGCAGACCCAGGTCTAGATGAATGAGCAGGTGGACAGACAGTATACAATGGGCAAATGGCAGGGTGAGTAGGCCCCGTCAGCCATGGGGGCAGAGCTCAGGTAATGCTTCTGGTACAGTCCAGAGTTCTCTGTCAGTCAGGTGTGTGTGTGTGCACATGCCAGGGGGTCAGATGACGAGTCAGTGGAGCTATTGCCATCACGATGTTAGGTGTTTTCCTCTTCGTGGAGTCCAAGTGAAGGAGTAGTGCCCTTCAGATTGTTGTGTACAGTATGTTCTCAGGCCTGGTTTTCCTGATTGGGTTTTAGTATACTTATATATTCATACAGTCTCAATTTACTTTGATAAATTTATAGTTTGGAACTGTTTCTACTTTTAGGAATAGTTTACCGGTTTGTACCTTGTGGGAGGAACTGGAAAGATGGTGAGCATACAGACAGTGTCTACCACAAGGTGCAGAGGCATCCTCCATCTTCAAAATGGAGTCAAATGCTGCTAGTAAAATAGTCTGTCAGGGCAGGGTACATTGTATAGGATACAGTGACTCAGGACAGGACACAGCCTGATCTCAGCAGTGGTATCATTAATTACCATTTCATAGCACGCGTTATCATCAAGATGAGTTTACTACAGTGCAAGTACATCATAGAAGGATTGTTTTGTCTCGTTATTTGGGGTTTAATTCATAAAGCCACATTCTCCACAACCAAAGCTAATTACCAAAGCTGTTAAATACTTGGTAACAATGGCTGAAGACAGTTCTTCTTCAGAAAGATTTTAGTTTTGTCCTTGAATATGAAAGATTTTTTTTTTTTTTTTGGTCTTTTTGGGACAGGGTCCCCCGTGACCCCCCGGCTGTCCTGAAATCCACTAGGCCGCCCATGCGGGCCTTGACCCCACAGAGACCCCCCTGCCTCTGCCTCCCAAGTGCTGGGATTAAAGGCGTGTGCCACCACACCCGGCAAATATGAAAGATTCTTAATAAAATGTTGTCAGTGCTAAGTCCTTTGGCTGCTGTGTGGCTGGCAAGAAGGATTCTCAGATGCTATTTCTGACAAGAATTTCTATAACTGACAGACTAAGATCATGAGATTGAATGAAGTTTACCTTTGGTATTGCTCATTCAGTAAATGTGGCAGCTGTAAATATTTTGCACATAGCACCTGCTGAAGATTAATATGGCCATAGAAAATAAGCAGCAAGTTGGATTGCGTATATGTGCTATAGTTTATCCACCCTTGATTTCAGTAGTAAAATGGGAATGCAGAGCCTGTTAAAACTTGTCGTCCCTTCATTAGTGCATAGACAGCACATCACACCCAGTAGTCAGATCCAAGTTATTTTATCTGTCTTGCTTGAAGACTTCCCCAGGATTGGTGATTGGGGCTGGTGAATTATTTCAAATAATTCACCAAATATAGCTATTTACTGTCTTCAAAGACGAAATATTTTAAGCAAGTTAATAGTGCTGCCTTACAGTTGATTCTATTTTCACCGTTAACATAGCAATTTACTCTAAATTCTTTGGAGAAAAGAGTCCTAAGTACTAGCATTTATAAAATGATTTATCTGATTTTTAGAAATAAATTTTTAAAATTAGATTTTTTTTCATCTGAGTATTTTTTCTTTCAATGTAGTTGCTTTGAAAGTTGTAAATTGTTTTTTCAGAATTTCCATTATTAAAATTTGTTTTTAAAATCTGTTAAAATGTCATGTAGTAAACTTGGAATACAGTTAACACCTCATCTTTTGAAAATAGGTTTAACTTTAAAATAATTTAGCATTTCATGAAGGCAGAATATGAAGTATAAAAATTAATGAGGCCAGTTTTTATAAATAAGAAACAAGTGACTGTTAAAATGATTTAAAATTAACATCTGTCCATAATTTAACACTTATATTCAGGTAAAAAGCAAGTAGTGGAAAGTTTCATACCTCGAATTTGTGCCCTGGTTATTGATTCAAGAGTGAATATTTGCATTCAGCAGGAGGTAATGTCCTTTAACTGTGTTCTAAAACCTAAAACTTGGAACATGAATAGTAAAATAAGTAAAAATTTATCTTAGACTAAATTTCTTAATTTCATGAGGTGTATTTCTGAAAAAATTCATTGCCTGACTAATATGTTTCCTAAATATTCATTAAAAATTATAACTAAATGGATTTATGTATGCATATAAATAATGTAAAAATAAGCTATATACTCTATACTATCGAGATTTTTTAGGAGTTCTGTAGTATTTAAATGCCAAAATTGCCCATATTTTTGTATATCTGCATATACACGTACAACATCAGACACCGAAAGTGATAAGGTAGCATTTTGCTTTTCTTCCTTAGAGCTTATAATAGTTATAAATGTGTCGCTTTACAAAGGGCACACAGAGCTGAGACACTGTGTGGTCCTGCTGTACTTGAAGTTGCATTCACTGTTATACCCGGTGCTCTTTCCTTTATCCTCTACATTCCATGAATACAATGCAGTGATCAAGAAAGAAATAGGCTTTTAAGTTTATGTGCCTGTTTCTCTAAATGTTTCCATGAGCACAAAGTTAATTATCTTTTTTTTTCTTTTCTAGGCTTTAAAAAAAATGAATGCTATACTTGACAGAATACCTCACGATGCCAAGAAAGTCCTTTCTAAACAAGAAATATTAACTCTAATGTAATAATTTTTTAATAATTTTGATTAAGAATTCCTAAAAGTTAAGAAATTAAAGTATATTTTATAAGAAATAAGGCAACCACAGGTTTGAATTAAATAACTGAGACTGATAAGCTTTGTAATTTTTGATACAATATAGTATTTATAGTCTCAAAAAGCCAATTGATGTTAGCCTGTTGTAACTTTTGGTAGTTTCTGTCTCCAAACATAAGCTTTCTATTTAATTGATGAGAGTTTAGTACATAATTTCTTATTTTGATTCATAGGAGTCATATGGGAGAAAGGATTTTAGATGTAGGCGGTAAGTATATCTTTCCAAGATATTAAATCTTTTCAAATTTTTGAATATGTTCTCCCTTTGACAATATTATTAGTCTTTTGATGTTATGAGAATATGCCAGAAATTATAATACATTGTGTAGAATGAAGGAAGCATTTTAAATGAATACAAATTAACAAAGACTTATCTTGGGATAAAATAATGATTTGTCATGACAGCATGATTTAGATAGATATAATTGAGCATAATGATATTTTAGGAATGCTAACTTAATTTTCCGGTAGATAGGAATTTCTTCTACTGAGATATTCCTCAAAAGATAGTTAATAAAATTTTGAGGCCTAATATTTTGGGAGTTGATAGATTTTTTTTTAAAAATAATATGTTTACTGAATGAACTTAATTTTTCTTAGCTTCCTTTGAGCAAATTGTAGAATAAAGCATGGCTTTACTGTACTCTGGGTTACCTGTAAACATAATTTAAAAAGATTCTGTGATTTACATATTATTGTATGAATTATTTGCATATTTCAAGTCTAGTTATAATGAGGAGTCCTAGACTATCTAGGAGTTTCTTGGAAATTTTAAAGTTTAACTTCTCTTACTAAAGAATAAATTACAGTATTGTTTGCTTATTTACCTTGATTATTCTAATCTTTTATAGAATATAGAGTTTTAGAAGGCTAATTTTTTATGATTTTGACTCCTATATTGATTAACAATTTTTTCAAGATTATGACATACAGGTCAGTATTGTGGAAGCTTTGTGTAGAATGACCACAGAAAAAAAAAGGCAAGAACTGTCAAGTCAGTGGTTTTCAATGGATTTTATTGCTAATGCATTTAAAGGAATTAAAGACTCTGAATTTGAAACAGTAAGTAGTATAAGAATAACAAGTTAGTATAGTGAGTATTTTTGTTTAATTCTTATTAAAAATCTTTCTCTTTGAAAATTAGGACTGCAGGATATTTCTCAACTTGGTAAATGGCATGCTTGGAGATAAGAGAAGGTAAAATTAATATAGCCTGTGGTCATAAGCTTATAAAGAAGTTGAGCTTAGCTCCTTGCTGAACACTCAGATATGAACTTCTGTTCTGTTTTGTTACAGTATAAAATATATGTGGAATTGCCGGGCGTGGTAGTGCACGCCTTTAATCCCAGCACTGGAGCTACAGGGAGACCCTGTCTCAAAAAGACTAATATATATATATATATAATATATATATGTGGAAATTTCCTTCAAGACAATTTTATATGATGTCATATAGTAAATTATTGCATTGCTCATCTGTAACAGTCCTCTAATGGTTTACTGTCTTTCAAAATTGCGTGTATATTATTCTTTATTGCTTGAGATATAGTCAAAATCTGGGCAAACATACTTCTTGAAATGCTAGAATGACAATATATAGTAAGCGAATTATCTTGTTTATAAGTAGCATATTATAAGTAGATATTTGGAGTTATTTAACATTAAGAACAAGCATGAAATGATACAAAATGCAATTTTTAACCATTTTAAAATGACAGTATTGTAATGCTTGGCCCTTTGTGGATGTTCTGGATGAATGAGTTCATTTGCTTTACTTAATAAGGAAGAGGAGAATGTGGTTGGGACTAAATACAGGGTGTCATATTACCTGGAACTGAACCCTAAATTCTCATCTTTCCTATTCTATGAGAAAGTTATTTAACCTTACCACCTTTGGTTTCCTTAGCTATATATATTGTAGGACCACTGATAATACTTACTGCATAAAGACAGACATAGTATGCTAAAGTGTTTAAAATAGTATCTGACCACGAAAGTATTCTAAAAAGTTAGCCATTTTTTAATTATCAGAATGACTCACATCTTTTTTACCCATCCAAGTCCTGTGGAAACTTCCACTATTTTAATATATAAATGAAGTTAGGAATACTTGTTGATGTTTGTTAGGGTACTTAGAAAAGTGGTATAATTTCTTTAGTCAAATGGTAGGTTGGATAGTATCCTTGGAGTAATATGCTTTTTATTTTTTTAAAACCTAAACAAATTTCCACTACATATTTGTAATAGTAGTGGGAAAAGAAGCAGTAATAGTCTAGCTTGGTGGTTTTCACATGTACCCCCAGCTACTTGCAAGGCTGAAGAAGGAATATCTCAAATTTGAGGCCAGCTCAGACAACATGAGACCCCATTTAAAGACTATCACTTAAAAAGATTATTTTATTTTAAGTGTTATAACCAGTTCCCAAGATTCTAGGCATTATTTTATGATTGAACAAGATTATTCAGTGAGGGCTGATTTTTTTTTAAATTTTGTTTTCTAGGGTCTTTACATTTCCTTGTTTGTCAGCATTTCTTGATAAATGTGAGGTAAGTTTTAAATATGTCATATTTCAGTTATTAGATATATTTTTATGAAAAAGTGATTTACGGATTATATAATGATCTTACACATTGAGTAGTTAGACTTAGATCATAGTACATTGACTAGTATTACATACACACAGTGAAACCATGAAAATTTCCCAAAGCAACTCATCTTCATCAAGGAGAACTCAAATACAAAGGCTTGTAGCTCTCCAGATTTTCTTCTCAGTCCTTACAGGCATTGCTGATTATAACTTATTTTAAACTCATACTTTTAGTGACTGCTAACACTTGAAATGTTTTTGATTTCTTGATACTAGATAAATTCTGTGTAAAATATTTAAATATTTAAAGCATTTCCTCTGATTCTAGATTTATCTAAATGCTTTTCTGCTTTTTCTTCATAATCTGTTTATGTCTCTTAAAAGTATTCAGGGAGTATCTATTTTGCTTAATATAGTGTTTCTGGATTCTAGAGTAAAAACAGAATTAAATAAAATAATCCAGTCATGATTATAACCTGATAATAAAATTTTAACTTTTTATAAGCATAGTACATACTAGTTTTGTATGTTCATTTTGTTAGCTGCAAATACCATCAGATGAAAAACTCGAGGAATTTTGGATTGATTTCAATCTTGGAAGCCAGACTCTGTCATTCTACATTTCTGGAGATGATGATGTAAGCTTTATTCCCTCTCTGTTACCATATATGCATATGTGTAAATAGCAATTTTGAAATTTAAGAATTGCTCATTTATTTGTCTATCTTTATAGCCATTCTTTTAATACATTTCACCATTTAGCTTTTATAATTTTAAGATTGTAACCTACCAAGCTAATTAGGAGTGAAAATTCCTTTTGAGTTTTTATTATAAAAAACAATGTTAATTTTAACATTTTTACACAAACCTTTCAGAAATAGTTATATGCCAGTGGCATAGATTTCATTCATTTGGATGGAATGAATCAACTTTTTAAAAGCCAGCATCAAGGCTGGTACAGTGCTTAGTAGCTGAGGGGCATGCTGTGGGAACTAACAGAGGATGATTAATGTCTTACTGGATCATAGGCCTTCTCTTGGAAAGAAGCGAGATATGAATTCTTACAGTGGCATTTGGAAGTGAATTTTAGTTCTTTAAATGTTGTAGCATAGTCCAAACAGATGTAATATTCTCTTTTGTCCTCTTTATTGTTTGAGGAAGGTATTTGAGCCTTTGTTTCTAAGAACTACCACTTCATATTTGATATAATATTGCTTTATATTTGATATGACATGCATCTACCCCAAATTGTGTAGTCACTCTTCCAAATTCTTTTTAAAAATATTTTAGTTATTATTTTTATTTTATGTGCATGAGTGTGTTGCCTGCATGTATGTGAGGGCACCCGTATCGTACAGTGCCACAGAGGTCAGAAGAAGGCTTCGGATTCCCCTGGGACTGGAGTTAAGGACGGTTTGTAGCCGCCATGTGGGTTCTGGGAATCGAACCCGAGTCCTCTGCAAGAGCAGTCAGTGCTCTTAACCGCTGTGCCATCTCTCCAGCCCTGTATTTTTTCTATATAGTAGTTATTGATATTAAAATAATTTTGTTGTCCCTCCCCCACTAATCATGGATCTGCTTTTTATTTTTATACCTAAGGACTTACTGTTTTTTGATGAATGAATAAATATATAAATAATATATTGAAAGAACAGAAAGATATATGTTTAATAATAGAAGGCACAGGGCATAGGAGAAAATAAGTTGCTAGAGCTGGTGAATAAGTAGCGTGAACTCCATTGTTATTCTTAAGAACTTAACAAAGCTCCAGCCTTGTATTAAGCACTAGGGAATATATCATGTGTACGTGGGGAGACTGGATTAAAATATAATGGGGACAAGACCAGAGACAGCTAAGAGGCTGTTGCAGTAGTCCAGGTGAGATGCCATGATAGCACTGTTTGAAAAAGTGATCATGGGAATAGAAATGGATAGATTGCAGATAAACTAGAAGGAGGTAGAATTTTACAAATTTGCATGTGCTAAAGTTATGAATGGCTAATAAAACTTGTGGATCTAGAGATATGGCAATGTTTTTACATGAGGGTGCATCTTCTATGAGAATGATGGATTCAGTTTCGAATATATTGCTTTGGAGATGGCTGTACAATAATCACTGGAAGGTATCTGGTAGACAGATTTATTGTTCCAGCCTCAAGTGGAAGATCTAAACCATAATTAGAAATATAGATGGTATGTGTGACAAAGCCAGGGAGGTTATCCTGTGCCTATATGATGGAACTATGAAAAGCATGTGGTTTTTACAGGCTGTCTAGAAAAGACTTTAGTCAAAAGGACACTTACTAAGGAATTAGCTAAAAGAGAACAGAAGGGCCTATGGGAGACAGGGGAGAGAACTCTTTACTAGTGAAACTACTATGTTGAGTACTGGAGAGTTAAAAATTGACTCATGAACGAGCAGTTCCACTAAAGTAACAGGAACTCTTAAGGTATTTCAGGAAAGTGGAAGGTGGTTTTTTTGTTTGTTTATTTGTTTTTCTCTAGAACTAAAGTCAAGGAAAAAGCAGAGTTAATAGCTAAAATAAGATGTGAATTCAAGGGAGGAACTGGTAGGTATTTTGTCTCAGTAGTTATCTTTGAAAATTGATGAGGGTCAGAGAACAGGAGATCAAAATGAGAACGTGAGAGTGAGGGACATATGACGGAGAATGGAAGGGGAAGGGGATGATTGACCCACAGCACATGTAAGAAACAATGAACAAGGCATCTCAGTATGTGAAGAAGATCATCTGTAGGAGTGAAGCATGACAGCTGCCTGTGCCACAGAGTATCAGTCTTTTTTTATACCTAGATAGGAGGCAGCTCAGAGTCCTGGACAAAGATGAGACTATCAGTAGCTTGCACTGGACACTGGGATTTTGGGTGTGACAGATCTACCAACACCCCTGGAGAAGGCTAAAGAGGGCGTGATACCCCTAGGTGACTGGTTTCAGCTAACAGGGGAAGTAGTAGACATGACAGTGAAGAACTGGAGGCCTTACAGGGATTTCTGTAGTTTGAGTTATCCCCGAGTAACACAGGGATGGGACTGACTTTCCTTAGCAAGATCACTGGAAGGTTTTAGAGTCCTGATTTTAGGTCTGGTTTCCAAGTTGTACCGTAACACCATGAATTCAGTATCATTGTATCCAGTTACACAAGTTTACAGAGAAATATTGGAAAGGGCAAACATTTTAGACAATCATATGTATTCAATGTTTGACTCTCAGAATAAATAAGTAATGAATATTAAAATTTTAGGATGTGAATAGATATTTGTAGATATTGACTAAGACTTTGTAAAATACTTCAAAGCAAAAAGACCTCAGGATTTGGTAACATTCTAAAAGGCATCCTCTAGTCTTTTAAAAAAATTATAAAAATATTTTTATTCTTGGAGAAATTCATAAATGTATTTTTATCATATTCACCCCAATTTGTCCCCTTAACTACTTCCAGATCATTTCTACCTCCCCACCCCCAACTTCTTATCCTCTTTTGTTGTTGTTTAGTAATGCATCGCTCCAATTGTGCAGCCCATATGCTTTGGGTGTGGGGCCATTCATTGGCACGTGCTCTAATAAATCCAGACATAACATTTTGAGTTAAAAACAAATTTAAAAATGAGTATCATTTTAATAGTTAATAAAATATGTACAGTATGTAGCTGATTGAGCAAGAAATGTCTTATAAACTGATTGCTTAGAGATACTAGCAAAAATAAACTTTGTAATTTATATAACTTGAAAATTGATATTGAAGGAAGTTTTAAATCGGAGATAAAGTATTGTTTATTAAGACCTTTTTTTCTAAATTGAAGGATCATCAGTGGGAAGCAGTTACTGTGCCTGAGGATAAAGTTCAAATGTACAGCATCGAAGGTATTAACGTTAAACTTGTTTTTTTATAATTTTTTTCTTGATTCTTGTCATAAAGAAGAGAAACTGCCTCTTGGATAATAAAGTCAGCTACTGAGAACAACAAAACATTTTGAGACATTCGTGTTTATAAATTTGCTAAACAGCCCCGCCCCACAGTTTTTTCTTTATCTTAAAGTTGTGATAGGTAGTCTGACCATTTTCATGTGAATATTTTCAAGGCTCTTGCATTTTTTTTAATTTTTAAAATTTATTTAATAACCACATAATTAGAGAAAGCGTTTTATTACAACAGCATTGGCATAGTCAGTAACAGTTTCCAGAGCTAAGATGTATCTCTTTCAAAATTAGCTGTAATTTTTATGTTCACAGTGTTAAATTATACAGTTATACATTATTGTACTCAGTATAAACCTGTAAGACATAAAATTGAGGCTTTAACTTTTTAAAAGAATTTTTACAAAAACTTTATTGAGAATGTCATACATGCATATAGGTGTTTTGATCAAATCCATGCCCACTCCCTCGCCTCCAACATTCCCCACTCTGAGGAGGTAATCCTAAAATCTTTTAAGGATTAGATACAAGCTCCCAAATACTTCTGACATTTTTGGCCTTGGAACAGAGTATGTTGCTAACAGGCCCAAGGACATTTTGACTTTTGGTCAAGAAGCTGGCTACATTTCTTTGGGGTCTTTTTACCCTAATTGCCTAGCCAATTCCTACCTCCTATTCTTATGCCATCCTCTGAAGGGGTTATCCAAATTGCCAGTAGAGGCTTTAACTTTAAAAAAAAAAAAGATCCCCGTTTAGTTCTAAAATACAGTTTCATGCAGAAAAATTTATTTTTAATGCCACTAACACTTAGATATTTGCACATGCATCTCTAATCTCTGTATATCTGATTCTTACTAGTCACAGTTGGTTACTTTCTGAGATCCTTGGCACCTGAGCATGGATATAAATTCATCAGGTAGATTTCAGTGGTAATGTTTTTCATAATACTAATTAACATAAAGCAAATTTTTATGCTTCTCCCTCAAATATAATTCATTTTTTAATTTATTGATTATTTTGGTGTATTTCATACAGAATATCCCAAATAATCTTATTCATCTTTATATCCACATCTCAAATGGCACCCTTCCATAGCCTACACCCCCCCCACTGGAGCCCATATACTCTGTCATCCCTGTTACTGTCCACTGTGTTATCAGTGCCCCCAGCCGTTGCCCAGTGCTAGTCCATCCGCTGAATCTAATCAACCTATCAAGAGTTCCTTCTTTTAGGAAGATCAGCTGTTCCTCATCTATCAACGAGCTGTTGTCAATATTCCTTTAGATAACATTGGGGTTTGTTTTTCATTTTCCCAGTTCTATGCTGGGTTGCTGTCTGGGAGTCTCTTGGCCACCCTGGCCAACAACTTGGTGGACGGTATCTCCTCTCTGGTATTGTTTCTTGTTATATAGCTTTTAGCTATATACATGGACTCTTAAAGAATTACACTGATAACTTTAATCTTTAGTTATACTTTCCTTTTGGGTGTTTAAGACCATACAGTTGGTCCAAATAAACCAATTTATTTTTACTCTTAAGGTCGTTCAAGGATCTGTTCCTCAGGAGTCACATGGGCTTGGGAGGAGCCCCTGGCTCCCTTCTTTTACCAGTTCCATCTATGTGAAGATAAGTCAAAGTCCTGCTTGACTGTGACTGGCTTCACCTGGAAGCATGGAGGAAATGTTTCCTCTGTGTTGACCCTCCTCTTTGTATACTAGACTGGTTCAAGTCCATTTGGTGGGGTCTTCATGGCCTCCTTGATCAAGCGGACAGGTGACGCACCACAGTTACAGGACATTTTGAGAGATGCTCATAGTTCCCTGGAACTTAGTCAATCTAGGAGGGTCAGGAGCAAAAACTGTCGTTTAAGCCCCTCTGACCAGATTAGTATAGGCCTCAAAGTATGGCTGTTAAACATCCAAGAAGATTATCTTCACCAGTCTGGTACTTTTAATTACCATGTGCTACATAGATAAAGCTTAGTCAAAAACCAATTATGTTCCTTGAGCTAGTTGTATGTATAATTTGTCACTAGGTTGTTGGACTAATAGGGTTCCCTGTTTTTTTTTTTTAACTAGCTAGGCATTATTTATCTCTCTCATTGTCTCACCCCTCCACCGAGGTTTCCCCATTTTCCCCATTTCTCCCTCAATAATAACCCTTACCTATGGTCCCACCTCTCTTGAGCTCCTTCTCTCCCTTTATCCCCTAGGTTCCTTGTGTAACACTTCCTCCTCCATCCCATTAAAATAACCCCATTTTTATCCATATCTCCCTTACTAACACCTGTTTCCTACTGTTCTCTTTCAGATTCTTTCTTTTCCTTTACCTCCGTGGTTCCTTTTCATTATCCTGGTTCCTGTAGTTATGTCTGTATACATCTCGCTTCTTAGCTATCTTTATTTCTTCTTTTGAGAACTCTGCTCAGCTCCTTAGCCCATCTTTTAGCTGTTGTTAAAAGAGCAGCAACAAACATGGATGTACAAGTGTATCTGAAATAGGATGAGTTCTTTGGATATACACCAAGGAGTGGTATAACTGGGTCAAATTGTAGGTTCATTTGTAGTTTTTTAAGAGTTCTCCACACTGCTTTCCATAGAAGTTGAACATGTTTGCAGTCCTACCAGTAGTAGATGAGCATTCCCCTTTCCCCACATTCTCTCTAACATTTGGTATCATTTGTTCTCTTGATCGTAGCTAGTCTGACTGGAGTAAGATGAAATCTTAAAGTGGTTTTAATTTGCATTTCCCTAATTACTAGCGATGTTGAACACTTTGTAAGATGTTTCTTAGCCATCTTTACTTCTTCTTTTGAGAACTCCTTAGCCCATCTTTTAATTGGGTTACTTACTTTCTTGATTCTTTATTTTTTGAGTCCATTATGTATTCTGGATGTTAAACCTCTGTCAGATGTGTTGCTTGTGAAGATTTTCTCCCATTCTGTGGGTTTTCTCTTCGCTTCCCTGGTTGTCTCCTTTGATGTACAGAAGCTTTTTAGTTTAATGTGGTCCCATTTGGTTATTGCTGACCTTAATCCCTGAGCCACTTCTGTATGATTTAGAAAATCCTTTCTTATACCTATATCTTGTAGGTTTTTGCCAATGTTTTTCTCTAATAGTTTCAGGCTTTACATTGAGGTCTTTGATCCATTTGGAATTGACGTTTGTGCAAGGTGAAAGATAGGGGTCTAGTTTTATTCTTCTGCAGGCAAGATCCAGTTTTACCATCACCATTTGCTGAACATGCTGACTTTCCTCCAGTGAATGTTCTTGGCCCCTTTGTCAAATATCAGGCAGGTGAAATTGCATGTACTCATATTTGGGTCTTCAATTTTGTTCTGTTGGGGTCTATTTTTGTGCCAGTACCATGTTGTTTTTATGACTATATCTCTGTAATACAGCTTAAAACCTGGTATAGTAATCCCCCCCAGCATTACTCTAAGTGCTCAGAGTTGCTTTAGCTATCCGAGGTCTTTTGTGCTTCCATATGTATCTTAGGATGGTTTTTTCCAACTCTGTGAAGAATGTCATGGGGATTTTGATTGGCATTGCATTGAATCTATAAATGGCTTTTGGTAGGATGATCATTTTCACAATATTTATTCTTCTAATCCATGAGCATGGGTGATCCTTCTGTCTTCTGATGTCAGTCTCTTTCTTTAAAGTTTTAAAATTTTCATTGTAGAGGTTGTTAATGTTTTTGGTCAGGTTTATTCCAAAATATTTTTTGCAGCTATTGTGAAGGGGAGTGTTTCCACGTGTTCTTTCTCTGATTGCTTGTTATTGGTATATAGAAAGGCTACAGACTTTTGTAGATTAATTTTGTAAGCTGCCACTTTACAGAAAGTGTTAATCATTTCTAGGAGTTTTCTGGTGGAATTTTTGGCAACTCTTAAATATATCATCTGCCAAAAGGGATAATTTGATCTCTTCTTTTCCAGTTATTACTCCTTTAATTTCCTTCTCTTGCCTTATTGCTCTTGCAAGAGTTTCAAGCACTATGTTAAAGAGAAGTGGGATAGTGGACAGCCTTGTCTGGTTCCTGATTTTAATGGGAATGCTTCCAGTTTTTCTCCATTTAGAATGATGTTGGCTGTGGGTTTGTTATATATGGCTTTAATTATGTTGAGGTATGTTCCCTCTTGTCCAATTCCCTCTAGGACTTTGAACATAAATGTATGTTAATTTTGTCAAAGGTCTTCTCTGCATCGTTGAGATGACCATGTGTTTTTTGTCTTTGAGTCCATTTATATGATTAATGACATTTATTGACTTGTGTATATTGAACCAGCCCTGTATCTCTTAAATAAAGCTGACTTGATCATGGTGGATGATCTTTTTAATGTGTGTCTGTATGCGGTTTGCAAGTATCTTGTTGAGAATTTTTGCATCTATGTTCATTAAGGATATGGGACTCTAGCTTCTTTTTTTGGTTGTATCTTTACCTGCTTTTGGTATTAGAGTGATGTTGGCTTCATAGGAGGAATTTGGAAGTTCTCCCTCCATTTCTTTTTCAATAAGTTAAGTAGTATTGGACATAGATCTTCTTTAAATGCCTGGTAGAATTCTGCTGTAAATCATCTGGTCCTTGGCTTTTTTCAGTCGGGAGGTTTTGTATTACTGTTTCAATTCCCTTATGTGTGATGGGTCTGTTTAAGCTGTTAATCTCGTCTTGGTTTAGTTTTGGTGGTTCTCATGCTTTTATATATCCATCCGTTTCTTTTAGGTTTTCAAATTTAGTAAGCATACAGGTTTTTAAAGTTTTCCCTTATAATGTTCTGTATCTTTCTGGTGTCTGTTGTGGTGTTTCCCCTTTCATCTCTGATTTTGTTGATTTTGAGATGCTTTCTTTCTTTCTTTTGGTTAACTGGGCTAGTGGTCTATCAATCTTGTTTATCTTTTCAAAGAACCAGCTCTTGGATTCATTGATTCTTTGTATTATTTTCT